GGCACTTGTTACTAGTAGCGTGGCACTTGTTACTAGTAGCGTGGCACTTGTTACTAGTAGCGTGGCACTTGTTACTAGTAGCGTCCTTTGCTTTATGCATCACTTTGTTTTGATGTCTTACCGTTGCCTTCTTGGAGGGTATTGGTCGCCGATGGTCGCCTCTCATACCTGGGCGACATGGAAGGACAGTACCTTTGCAGGGCACAGTTTCGGGAGTCCAAGGAGTTGGTTCCGGCTTGCACAAACTTTGATCACCAGGCAAACCTGAGCAGGTGCAGTCACAAGTCAACCGGTGCTGCAGACACACACACATAAAAAAAAATAAACATATATATATATATTATATATCCTTATATATATATAGCATCACATAGCTGCACTTGGAACTCTGTCAAGGTCCAGGGTGATTTGATATTCTGAAGTGTAAGACCTCCCTTTCTCAGTTGCCAACACCAAGTCAGGTCAGGTCCGAAGCAACTAAGCAGAGTCCTGCACATGCTTTGGTCTCAGACGATGTCCAGGTAGATTTGGGTTGCTCGCTGCACATCGAAATCTAACCCTAGGTGAAGACATGGTCTCACACACCTATATAACTTGTTTCAATCCAGGAGATCAACGAGAAGGTGGGATGCCCAGGTTTGGTACATAGGTGGCGGGTGCCCCCGACAAATCATCCGAAACTTGCTGGCCCTCAGGTTGCGAGGCTCTCAGCAGCTGTGAAGCTGGCCAAGACCACGCGTCTCGGTCCAAAAATAGATGGTCACCGCCAAAAGATCATTAAATTAAGGAAGTGGGCCATCATCTTTGGATGTCGTGTGAACACGCTCTCACGTTTGCCAAGTGGGCTACTTAACTTACCTTCATGCAGCAAGTCAGTGGGGCGTAGTGGGGCTACAATGGCTAGGAGTTCCATGTTGTAGCCTGACTTACAAGACAGGTTGTCCTGACTTGACTACCATAGCCATGCCTTCACGGCGCATCGGGCCTTGAGCATCGTGTTTGGCTCTGTGTTTGGGACCTATACGTGGCGCCGCTTTTGGCGCGAGCGTCGATCCGTTGGAAGGACGAAACCTGCGCCGCCAGGGATACTCTTTCCGCCGACAAAGAGCTGCGGATCTTCTTGGAGCAAGAGAGCAACAGGAGATGCGGGATGTCTGTGGGGCTTGCCCATCCTGTTTTGCAGACATGGCCGCAGGCATGGTGGCATATCCATTGTTCTTTTCACATCAACTATTAGTAACTATTGGACGTTTGGAGGATGATAGGAGGATGATAAAGCACAAACAAGCCGGCAATGGAAGGGGCTGGGCTTTGCAGGGTGTATCAGCTTTCCATTCTAGTTTTCCAGTTCCCAGCAATTTGTGTTAGCTCGCTCAAATACCTTTGGCAAGAGCATCGCTTTTAGCTCTCTCCTGAACAAACATAGCAACCCTCAAATGCTTCAACGTGGCTTGGAAGATGAGGGTTGAACTAGTCACTTCCAATAGATGGCTGCAGCTTGCTTCGATCAGGAGCTTGGGCGGCGATGTTTTCAAGACATTCCAGCAGTGGGCGAAGCTGATGCAAGGTTGCTGGGCCTTGATAATTTTTAGAGCGACTTAGACTTAGCCAGTAGACTGTTTAGTAAGTCAACGAAACACTATCCATTAGTAAGTCCCACTAAGATAAACTAAGTCCAACGAGCTTTTGCATTGGACGACCAACCTCTTTCTGAAGCAAAAAGGAGCATTTCATGCGGACAACAGTACAAAGAATCTGAAGGGTTTGACGTCCGTGTTTGAACATTGCGAGACCAATCGGTCTAACTTCCATTTCGATTAGGAAAGCGCAGACCAGCACCCATGGGAAGCACCCATAGGTGCGAGGTGTTCAAATAGAGGATGGGACTAACCCTTCAAGACACATTTGAAAGAAGTCGATGACAACCATTCACTCCCGATCCCGAGTCCAAACTTCTGCCACTTGGCTATCTCAGGCGATGGCATGCTAGTGAAGCCCAAGAAGATTGCACCGAACCCGGAAAGAAACGTTTGTCGCATGTGGTCGCCTTTGGTGCACGGGTGGGATGGGACTACCCACCAAGTTTCTCATCGGAACTGCGACTCAACAGGTGGAACATGTTAGTTTGCTGCCAAAGACTGACCCACTGCTGTGCTGAAAACACCGGCCGGGTGCAGCTGAAAACACCCGTCACTTGCAGCGGCCGGGTGTTCGCTGCACGTGCGCCGCTTGGTCGCCGGTTTTGCTTCGCCATGTACGGCGACAAGATAGCACCCACCAATTGAAGGGTCTCCAACGGTACTTGGTCTTTTGGATAGGGACGTATAGGGACCACATCTGCGTGTTTTGCCAGTGCACGCTTCGACGCTTCTGCAGGTGCTTCCGTGATGAAAAGGTTTGGTGGATCGAAGCAACGCAGAGATGCCGTGCTTTTGATCTTACCATTTGAGGGCCGATGTATGCCGATGTCAGCTTTCGGTGCTTTTTGCCGCCGACATCGCGTGCAACGGAGGTTTTCCCTATGTTTTCCCTCCGAGGCCTCCCAAGCCTTGCGCAACCAGATTCAGTTGAGGTATCAGGAGCGCTTGTGTTGACTTTGGGAGAGAAGTGGCGACAGAATGCTGGAAAGGGTGAAGGGTTGCAGACGGTTGCAGCCAGAGGCGACCTATTATTGACTGGTGGCATGGATCCCTGGAATGGAAAAGGTCAGCCACACAAAATGACCTTTGGTGACCTCTAAAACCCATGTTACATATTGTATTGCACCTTATCATCACCAGCAAGAGTTTGGTATGTCCACGTCACTTGGATCATACGCTCTGACTTGAAGAAGACCTTTCCATGCATTGGTGATCAGTAATCCCAAGGTGCTGACTACTCAAACCCAACGTTGGGGAGAGAAACTATGAAACTCTAGTGACCTCAAAATATAGAAATAATATGAAATAATCCTTGTAAGAATGTGTTGGATACAGTTTCTATCTCGTTGCTGGCTTCTAGAATGAGCCCTTGAGTCACTGGACAAAGAGATGAAATTGAACATCGTCACTCCGTCACTTCGCGGCGATGATATATTAATATACAATATATCAAGAATCATGGCCTGGGCGTTGAATGAATGAATCGAGTCCCGCGGGGGCCTGGGCTCTGTCCTGCGCAGGAATTCCTTGAAAGGCGATTTCCGGACCAAGCTCGTCACTTCCAGTGGGGTGCTTGGTACATCTTGGGACGCGGCATGGGGCCGGTTTTGTTTGCAGGTTTATGTGGGTTTGCTGTGTTTGTTTGGTTTGGTGGTCTCAAACTGGGGAGAGACCTCTACGATGTTGTGCATCTCCTCCAAAATTATTGAGACTGCATAGAGTCTCGAGAGAAGTTGACAGCATGAAGAAAGCCAGTAGTTCAGACCTGAACCCCTGAACCCCAAGTGCTGCATTTTGACTACCACCATTAAAGGTTCGGTCATGCCTTGTCGAGCCAGGAATAAAGAAATGCGAGGTGTCTTTAAACAAGTACTGTATTCCATGTAGGAGTCATGTCACTCCTGGATTATGTTTTAACAACAATTTGATGGTAACATTTGTTGCGAGGTAGATACTACCCATTGACTACAAGAAAAGTGGAATCATGTTGCAAGAGGTTCACCCAAGAGAGAGATACCAAATGACACATTCGAGACCTGCAACATTCCAAAACTGAGTGTTGCCAAAAGTTATTTGGCTAGAATGTAATAACATCCAGAATAATATTCATAATCCATGTCACAGGTGGTCAGAAAAACTAAATCCCCATTGGAATAACCACTCTTAAATCAGTACCTTAAGCATCCAAGTTGTTTAACAATCTTAGACTTGAATATACTTAAATCAAATCATTGAAATCTAAAATGACTAGCTTGGCGTACCTCTTAAGAGAGGGTGTAAAGACACAAGAACATGTTGCGAAGGTGGCGAAGGTTGGTGCTGCTGATTCTTGAGAGAAACATATTATACTTTGTGATGTTGTGAAAAAAAAAAACTCAGGTCCTGTGATTCTTTAGAGGTTTTAGGCTTGAAGTGGTTGTGCAGGTGATTCTAGAAAGAATTCTGTGTTTGTTTTGCAGTCCTTGTCTTTGCACATCTCTGAAGACCAATAATTTGCCAATAATATATCATGTTGTTTGCTTTTTGTTTAGATCATTTGAACCAGTATTACGCCAGTCTCAATACCAAAAGACCACGCATTCCTGTACCCTTCTAGCTGGTCAAGAATCAGGGGGTCTCTCATCCCATAGATGTCAATATTTTGTTGTTATTGATTTTAAAGAAGGCATATATTGATATATATTGCCTATATGTTTGTTTGGACATTCCCATTTGATTTTGTGAGCTCGATTCTATACTACGCTCATTTTCCATGTGCTCTCGATTCTTTACCACATGTTCTTTCCTGGGGGCCATGTCCACAGATTTAGGCTTCTAAAGTGGGCTGCGCTGAACTACCCTGTAATAATCTGTAATCTCAAAGGGGATGTAACTAATATATGATTATTCCAGACGGGCTGTGAGAGGGAGTCCCCGGTGGTGTCCCCTGAAGTAACCCCACATTTAAAGAAGTGAGAGACTTCAGAAGTAAGCACAAGATATGTGGAGGTCCCCAAATGGATTGAGAGTCGAAAGGTTTTCCGAAACAAGTTTGAAGGGGACCACGTGACCGTACGTGACCACGCTTCGCTCCAATCAAGCTGCAAGACTACAATCTTAGGAGTCAAGATCATCCTAACACATCCAAGGCCAGGTCCTCCAGGTCCTCCAGCACCTCACGCGCGAGCTTCACATCATCTCACGCGCCAAGGCCACAGACTCCTGCCGGCCTGGGTGTGGCAGTCCTGGGACTCAGTGGGACCCGGGCCGATTCGGCAGATCTCAGGCGTTTGGTGAGACGATTCAGATGGTCGAAACCTGTCGAAAGCAACAGCGGTCAGACGATATGATGAATATTATATTAGGCAGGAAACCTCCGGTTCGTTTCGGTTCGTTTTGGTTCCTTGAAACTGGAATGATGGGCGGTTCGGTTCGCAAATACAAACGGTTCGTTTCGGTTTTCGTGAGAATCGGTTCGGTTCGGTTCGGTTCGGTTCCTTCTTTTTAATATACAACCGAAGGCGGCGTTTAAAGCAAAGGGTTTGGCAGATCACAGCACAGTCTCCGGAGTTTCCATAAACTGAGACCCATGGGGTTCCTTTTGGGTGAATGATCGATGGGGTGTCCTAGTCACGTCCCGGACTCTCGCTAGGGAAGGTCGGGGCCCATCGATATCTTGAGGACACCCCATGGGCCTTGAGCGTTGAAAGCCGACGACCCGCGACGCCCCGGCCTCCATCGGATGAGATCACACATGTGCGTGGTTCAAGAGACCATGAGGGTCTTCTTGAGATGATCCATGAGGATCCACCGATGTTGATGTAATGCTCTTAGGGTTCACTATCACAACCTTGAAGGTACTTTGTTCACAGGAAATCTGTGAAACGTTTTGTATACCATTGGGCTATGACCTTGAAGATAGAATCTCTTTCAGAATTCCCAATATGTTCTGTGAACCATGGATTGCACTCGTCTTTTTGCACATATACGCGAGCTCTGTCGCGGCATCATGGATAGCGATCTCTGCAGTCGGCTGGATGCCTCACAGACCGCCACCACGACGAGGCAAAGTCGATCAATCACATGTGCACAACAATAACATACTCTTGTGTGAAGCTTTGTCACATGATGATGTCGAGCATGAGTGTGCATCGTGCAGCACTTTTTGACTCTGTTTAGTTGTGTCTACTCTAGTGCTTTGCGGGCAAGCTATGTCGAGCTTGCATGGTAAAGAAGATGCAGCCCTTGGCATCTTTGCTGCATGAACTATACAATGTAATGTGCAACCGTGCACATGCATATATTTGTTGATGTTGTGCTATCTTGTTATCATTCACTTAGGCATTGTCAAAATCCACTTGCCTCAGTCAGCATTCTTAGACTGCGCTGCTGCTGACGACGTCGATCAGCAGACCTTGTTTCCAAAAGTAGACTACCAGCACGTTAAGATGTCTGACTTGGAGCGATACCTAGAGCTTGTCATAGACTTCTACCGGTTATCACCAGAAGGCGGGTCGTTTGTCATATTGTGCACGCAATGTATTTAGTTCTGCATGATGTGTTATAGTGCAGAATTGTCACGTGCATATATACAAAATGTGGAAGGAGAACATTCAATTACCTTTCTTGTGGGCATCTTTGAAAAGTTGGACATCCAGAGCGATTACAACTTGAGCAATCGCAAAACAAAGAAGGATCGCCAGCGCTGGTACACAGGCGAGGCTACATGATGCATGCGTTGAAGATATTCAGTCGACGTGTCTATTGAGCTTTTATTCTATATTTTTCTGTGTTCCACCATGATGTTTGTGTGCTTTGTTGCAGGCATACACATTGTATGGCTTACTCTCGTATGCACGCCGTTACTGGAGAAAGGCTGTTGCCCGCAACACCAAGGGTGAGGCCAGACTACATTGAGACATCTAAGAAAAACAAATGTCATATGATGTGCATGTGCACGCGTTTAAGTTATAAACATTAACACTGCATGTCAGGTGGCACAAAAACTGATACGCGTGATGCAGAAAAACGACAGAAAAGCCAGACCAAAGAAGAAGATCTTGACACCTTGCACCAACAACTCCGATGACGATGATGATCTTCAAATTGTGTATTTGTATCACCCTGCAGGTAGCTTTGTCTGCGGTTACAATTGATATGCATGCACACAGCTTATACGTACAAAACCATTTTGATTATGTGCTAAGGTATCGTGGTGTCTACCAATGTCCTGGCCGGTGATGATGTGATCGTGACACCGCAAGAGACACCACAGGATGGCCAACATGCTGAGCGCCAGCAGCCTGATGCACCTGATCAGGTGCCTTCAACCTTGCTGGACGTTGAGATGGAACCTGATCAGGTGCCTTCAACCTTGCTGGACGTTGAGATGGAACATGATTCACAGTGGATAGAGACTTTGGCTGTGACAGCACCTGAGCCGCCTTTCCATCTTCCAGACTCAGCGGCCCATGAGTCACAATGGGAAGATACTCAGGTTGTGGGTGCGCCAAAGCCTGTAGTCCAAGCACAGCATGAAGAGACTCAGGCCGTGGTCACAGAAGAATCTGTGAATCCTGAACAGCCAGTGGTCGAGTCTCAGCGGGACCATTCTCAGATGATTGCCTCTACTCCTTCCGACTATGTAGACACAATGGTCGAGCACAAAGAAGATCAGGCACTAGAGCAGCACCAAGCCGGTGAACAGCTTGATGCACACACTCATCCAAAGTCTGATGCAGGTGCTTGGGTCATTGTTGATGACAGTGAGTCAGAGGAGGGGACAACTTTACCCAATGATCCAGCCCTCCAGAAAGCACGGAACAAGCCGACTGACCGCAACATCGTTTTAGTTGGTGGGGAAGCTATCTTTAGAGCTGTCGCTGAACACAGGTCACCATTGAGGCCTCGAACTTTGACGTATGATGCTTCGAAGGATCCTAAGGCAGATGCCAACACAACCGGAGAGGAGCAGGCTATGATGCCAGCCACGGTCCCCGTTCAGGACAAAGTCTCATTGTTTATGCACATGACAGCTGTATGTGTTTCTATATGAAAAACACATAGTGAAACATGTGTCGACAGTGTTTCCTCTGCAGGAAGTGACAACACCGTGTCATGCAGCTGAAGTGGCAACACCCTGCGTTGAGACGAGAGTTCCCTAGCTTATTTAAAGAAAAAACATATGTGCACGTGCTATATGAATGCATTCTGCAAGCATGCAAATATTATATCGTTTGTACACTAAACCTATCATTTCTAAGGAACCTGTTGGTGGTCATCTCCCGATGGACCCTGCCCTTTATGAAGAGCTTGCACGCGCAGAGCCTCCAGTCTATGGGAATCAACTCAAGAAGAGAGGTCGAAAGCCAAAGGCAAAGGTTTTGACCGACTCGGCCGTGGAGGGTGAGTCCATGGAGAACACTCATGCCAAGAAGGTCAAGAAAAACAAGAACGGCAAGAAGGGCAAGGGCAAGGGGAAACGAGCTGGTGGAAAGAAGGGAAAAGGTGGAAAAGGTCGTGCCAAGAAAGGCAAGAAGGGCAAGGGACAGTCTGCAATGGGTGGCGAAGCAGGAATGTCAGCACCATGTGAGATGGCAGCTGAGATGAAGTCGCTTCATGATCTGGAGGAGCTTCCCATGGAAAGGTCAGCTGGAGAGGAAGCTGGAGCGAAGACACGGAAGCGCAGAACAAAGGCCAAGAGATCTTCAACCCGAGCGGCAAAGGGAAATGAGATGGTTGTGGAGGAGAATTTGGAAGAATCCAACCAAACAAGAAATCCGCCGAAGAAGAGGGCTCGCAAAGGCAAGGCTGCTGTTGCAAAAGCCCCTGTGGATGCTCCCGTGCAACCATTGGTGGAACCGGAAGTGGCTGAAGTGGCCCAGCCATCACCTGCAGGTTTTTCTCGCCCACCAATCTGGGTGACCGCTTCGAATGTGTATTCAAACATGTATAGACGGGCCCAAAGCGGTGGATACAGCAAAGCTGAAGTCCAAGCAAAGGCCAAACAAGCCACACAGTTGTTCCGTGAGAGTGGCATTGTTTCCAATGATTTGCTTTCATCCTTTCGTGGTCGCGGTAAGAGGGCCACTGATTTGGATTTAGCGTCTGATGGCGGCCGTCACTGGTACATCAATGACCAGCCTGAATATCAGCCGTTACTGGAAGATGCAGCGACGGAGTCCTGAAGTATAGATGCATCATGCGATCGACCACTCAGTCTTCCCACCAAAAATGGTGGGTGTGCTGGGATAGATCTTTTGCTGTGCAGCTACACTTTCTTTTGTCATGCACATGGGTTCAACATCCCATGTATAGTGAGATCATATGATCTTATCTTATCGGTGGTTCGACTATGTTTAAATTTGATCGGGGTTGGTATGCATTGCATACCATTTTGTGTGCGGTGTGATCAAAGTTTGCGTCAATGCACATATACATATTGTACAACTGACAGAATGTTCTGTCAGCCTGCAGGCTGAGTTCAATGAATGCATGAATGCAAGTGCACTCAGTGGCATTTAGACAGCGCAAGCAATGTTTAATATTCTGCAGCTATTTTAACTTGTATTTCGGGTTCAGTGCATATTTGTCGGTGCATCGTGTACAGCCATATTGTCATGCCAAAACCTGAGAAGAAGATCTTCAGCTGCACGCAGTAAAGTTGAATTATATTATATAATTCCTAGAAGGACTGGCCAAGACAAGCAACGTATGATTGCATTAAGGTTCATGTGGATTTGACAAACAAATTATGCTTGACATCTCATGATGTATGTTGTTTGTGCTTGATGAGGACGTATCCGGAGCACCTCCAGAACAAGTACTTTCCCAAGAACCTTCCAAAAGGAGAATCCAATCCTGGATCTTTGCCAGTGAGACTGTTCCGGATCATGACTGTTCTTGCCATGGTGCCTTGAACTGTCTTAAATGTCATGAGACCTATGTGCAAATGAGTCTGAGTCTATTTTATATTATATATTGTACATTATGTGAATTAACATGTGATTGTGTAATTGGCTGAGGTCTACCCAGAGATCAGCGAGCCAAAGTATATGTGTGTGGATGCCTTTGCTGGTAAGCGTGCCATATCCATGGCCTTCGAGGAGCAAGGTCAACAGGCAAAGGCTCATGACATTGTGTTCACAAATGCTGATGATGCATATCTGCAACTATGTGTTAACACTTGAATGTGTTGATGTTTTTTGTTTTTAAGGCGGTGGGGGGGAGGGGGGTGGGAGAG